AGAAATCTCACTAATTATTAATTATTGATACAGGTAGTACACTATTAACCTTAAATCCTGCTGTCGCTACACAAGCTCTCTCTCAGAGTCAACAAACTACTCAATAATGGGTATCTCTAAAACTTTTCACATTTCCCATGTCCCATCCCACAGCTGTCACCTTTGGACCTTTATTCAAGGAATATTTCTCTTCCTATGGGACACTGACTTCATAAGAAAGATTCCACAGTACAAACAGAATTTCCACATCAAATGCTCTCCTGATGACCCCTTCCTTGAACTCCTGAGAACTCTGCTATTCATCATCAAGCCAGAATTAACTTAGACTCTGACACATCCTTTGTGACCAAATGAAGCCCAAATTGAAGACTTAAGAAGGCCAGATTTTTTGTCAGAAAAAAGTTAAAATTATACTGGCAGAAGTATTGGCGCTGAACAGATCAAGGTTCATAACGACCCATTCAAACCACTACCCAAACCTGCACAACTCTCTAAAATGAGACAGTAAAGAAGGACTAAAACCCAACAGTTGACAGCCTAATAAAGAAAAGAGTCATCATACTTTGCTCAGGGTCTTCAAGGCTGCAATCAAGATGTGGGCCAGACTGCATCTTCATTTGGAGGCTCAACTGGGGACAAATCTGCTGCCAAGCTCATTCAGGTGATTGGCAGAATTTATTTCCTTGTGGCTGTATGATTGACTGCTCCACCATTTTGCCAGCTCTCGAGGGAGGTTACCCTCACCTTACCTTAGAAGCTGCCTGGAGTTCGCTGTCATGTGCGTTTCCTCAATATTGCTGTTTACTTCATCAAGCCAACAACTAGAATCTTGTTTTCTGGACGGTTAAGATGGAATCTTACAATCCTCAAAAAGTTAAACATAGAATAGACCTAGCAATTCCACTCCTGGGTATATAACCAAAAGAACTTAAAATAGGTATTCAAACAAAGACATGTACACAAATATTTATAGCAGCACTATTCATAATCGCCAAAAGATGGAAATAATTCAAATGTCCATCAACTGATGAAGCATTTTTTTAAAAAGTGGTATATTCATACTATGGAATATTATTCAGCCTTAAAAGGGAATGAAATACTGATACATGCTACAGTGTGGATCCTACATTCTGCTTAGTTTACTGTTAAAGCTATCTAAAGTCCTTATTTGCATATACTTGTAGTTATAGAATTTCTAAATTTTTTTATAGATTCAAATTCTCTGGTGAAATTCTTTATACGTTTATCTATCTCACTCACATTTTCTTCTAATTTCTTTAACATATTAATCATAGTTATTTCACAGTCCTTATCAGCCTACTCCAATATCTAGAGCATACGTGTTCCTTTCTCTTGATGTGTCTAATAAATATGTACTAAATGACAGAAAATGTGTACACAACAGTTATATGTGTAGAATTTATCTCCTAGAACGTTATTCATCCAACAAGTATTTAGTGAGCACTGACTATGTGCCAAGTACCATATGCAAGTGATGTAGTAATAAACAGCACAGTCCCTGCCAGCAATGAGCTTACAATTCAATGCAATAAGTAAACATTTAACCCATCATTAACATGGCTAAAAGGCCCTATAAAATCTGAGCTCCTCACTATACGTCTTACCTCTATTACCTCATCTCTGACCACTGTCTCCCTTGATCACTCCAATCACGTGATTCCTTGCTATTTGTTCACCGTCGGACACACTTCAACCCTAACACCTCTGCACTAGTTCTTCTTTCTGCTTTGCTCTTCTCCCTGATATCCACATGACTTTGCTCTGTCACCCCTTCAGATGGCATGCTAAACCTATTTTAAACTGTGACCAGACCCTGCCTTCCAATATTCTCATTCCCCATTCCCTGTCTTATGTTTCACCATAGCATGTACTATCCATCTTATTATTTGTTTATTGTCTGTCTCCTTCTTCTATAGAGTAAGCTCCATGAGGGCAGAAATTTTTTTTTTTTTGGTCTGTTTTGTTCACTACTATATCCACAGCACTTCAAACAATGTGGGACAAATAGTATGCACTTGTTAAATATTCACTGAAGAACGAATGACTGAATGACTTAAAATGTGATGGGTCAAGTGCAGGCTAAGGGAAAATACAGCAGAGGGCCTAATCTAATCTCGACAGTCAAGGAAAGCTTCTGTGAGGAATGTATGTTTAAGCCAACACCTAAACAATGAGTAGGAGACAATAAAGAAGGAAGACCACAGCAGAATCAACACAGATTTGACAGAATCAAGCATAGAAGTTTCAAAAACTAAAATGTCATACACGAATGGTGCACACGGAACAAAGGGTAAACTGGCACAATATCAGTTGGAAGAGAGAAACAAAGGCAGCTATTTAAAGGATTGAAACACGGCATACTACCAAATCTGAGTCTTGGAAAGATCACTCAAACTGTGTGTCAAAAATTGGACGGGACAAAGATGGGCTACAAGGAAACCAAGTAACAGGTTGATGAGGTAACCCAGATTAGATAATGGTAGCTGGAACGTGGTGTTAGCATGAGGAAAGAAAGCAGTAAATGAATCTGAAAGACATTTAAGCTAATTCTCTGTAACAGTATTTACCAAGAACAACCCAAAGTTTCTAGGCTGAGAAACTTGCTATGTGGAAAAATGTCACCATCTTATCAGGCAGGAAAGAATGAAGCATGAGAAGTTTAGAGCAGGAGTCAGCAAACTTATTGTTTTTTCTTTTCCTTTTTTTTTTTTTTTTGAGGAAGATTAGCCCAAGCTAACTACTGCTGATCCTCCTCTTTTTGCTGAGGAAGACTGGCCCTGAGCTAACATCCATGCCCATCTTCCTCTACTTTATACGTGGGCTTTTGCCAAGCGGTGCCATGTCTGCACCCAGGATCCAAACCGGCGAACCCCGGGCCGCTGAGAAGCAGAACATGCGAACTTAACTGCTGAGCCACCAGGGTGGCCCCAACAAACTTTTTCTTCATGGGCCAGGTAGTAAATATTTTAGGCTTTGTGGGCTATGTGGTCTCTGTCACAATTACTCAACTCTGCCAGTGTAGTGGAAAAGCCTACACAGACAATATGTAAATAAATGAGCATGGCTATGTTCCAAAAAAACTTTATTTACAAAAACAGGTATGCATGGAGCTATAGTCTGCCGATCCCTGGTTAGAGAGAAAATGATGAGTTCAGCTTTTGACTTGTTACTTTCAAGGTGCCTCAGGGGCATCAAGTAAAGCTGTTTAAGAAGTCATTGGATGTGCAGTTCTGAGGTTCAAAAGAGATATGTAAGACAAATATATAGGTTTCAGATTTGTCAGAAAAGGTGGTTAACTGAAGTCATGAAAATAAGTAAGATTGCCTGGCAAGAGTTTGTACAATAAGAGAAAATGTCCTACGCAGAACCCAGAATAAAAACCAACATTTAAGGAAGAAAAACAGGAAGAACAGTCAGCATGAAAACTAAGAAGGAGATTCAAACAAACCAAAAACACAAATACAAAAACAACAGCAAAACTAGAACTGAGTTATGTGTCAGAAGAAAATATTTCGAGAAGGAAAAAGTGACCAAGTGCTTCTAAGAAAGACTTGAATGCTTGTAAGACATCAAGATAAGATCAGGACCGAAAAGTATATATTTGATTTAGTGAAAGAAAGAGATTGCTGGTAGATTTTGAAAGAGAAATTTCAGTAGAAATGAGGAAAGAAGCCAGATTGCAGAAGATTAAAGATTAAGTGAAAACTGTGGAAATGAAAACGAGTGAAGACAATTCTTCTAAGATATTTGGCTGTGAAAGGGAAGAGAGAAATCAGTTGGCAGCTGTGGACTGATAAGGGGTTATCGTGCTCTATGAAGAGGAGGAACACATATTTCTTTCTACTAAACTGGAGGCGCCTTTATGTGAAGGATCTTGGGTAACCTGTTTATCACCACATCGTTCCCACCCAGCCAAGGGATCAGGACATTTGTTGGGTGACTAAGTATTTTTATAGCAACGGTAATGGAAGGGAGATAAAGACAAGGAGAGTTCTAAGACACAGAAGAAAGAAAAGACAATCAGTGAAGACTGTAGTACATGAAGGCTATAACGGATACATCCAGAACATAAGAGGAAGAACTGGCTTACAGAAGATGGGGAGCACCTCTCTTCCTTGTAACAAGAGAGAAGAAAAAAATGGATGAATACAGATTAATGTAAATATGGGCAAGAAGCTGAGGATATTTATTAACCAGAGGCCAAGCTTGCTAACTAACCTGTAATGTGTGAAATGATCCTGCGCAATGAAGAACTGTCCATCCCAAAAAGTAGTAATAAGAAACACTGAGATGAAGAGTTCTTGCAGACTAACTCAAGTCACAAGGTTAAAGTCTACACAGGGACTCTCTTCTAATGAGAAAAAGTGAATATTTTTTCCCGGACGGTACGGAACCACATACTCTAATTTCTGCATTTCTTTCTTAGAAGCCTTCAGGTGCAGAAACCACTTGCTAGTTGAGGAGCTGATGCCTAGGATCTATAGTAATCCACAGCTATGCTACTTTCCACTAGAAATATGATTACAGTTTACATTTTACGTAACCGAACAGAAACTCACTGTAAAGATACAAAGAGAATCTCACAATGTTTCAAACATTTAATATACACCACCATTAAATGAAATCTGGAGCTCTAATGACACAGTTTTTAATCACTAAGATTTTTCCTTTGAAAGTCTGAGTCATACTGATTCATTAAATACAATGCTCAAGTGGCTTCTTTTTTTTCTTTTTTTCTGCTTTATCGCCCCAAGTCCCCCCTGGTACACAGTTGTATATCTTAGTTGTAGGTATCAAGTGGTTTCTTGCTCTTTTTAACTTATGCCATTTAAAATAATCCAAGTATAAACAACACTGATTTTTTTACACCTACAAATATATATTTTAAAAAGCAATAATTGCATTTTATCTTACACTCTTGACAAAATGTTTGACTTGAGGGCATGTACCATAAAGATTAGAGTGAAACAGTTCCTCACCTTGACTACTCCATCAAAGCCAGGGATTGTGTTAACTTTTGCTTTCTTAGCTAATAATTTGCTTTCAATCTTGTCACCCATGGCTTGAATAGCATGTGTGTCAGGTCCAATGAAAATGACATCTTCCTCTGCCTGTGGAGAAATACAAGTAGAAATTTATAACAAAAACACTGCGATGCTTGATATGGAGTTACTAGTTTATAAAAAGAAAAACCCATATGTATATTTACTAATTATTCACATACTAAAAACAACTCAAAAGTAAGCATTTAAGCCAAAACATTAAAATATATAATACTGTATTGCATATAGTACATGTGTACATAAATACATGAGACAAAGAAAAATAATTGAAAGTAACGAAGAACTCCTGCTTGATATTAACAGTATACTTTGGAAAAGCAACTTCTGTGCTGTTATATATAATAGCCTATCATCCAATCTAAACAGTAAGTTCACCCTTAAAATGCTTTATAAATCTTTGTATTTGCAATACTCTGCAGAGGAGTGCCTAGTTCAACACAAATATCTTTTTATTGAATACCAACTCTGTGCCAGTCTTTGAGCTAAATGTAGGGGATAATATGGATAAAAACCAGAGGATATCAACTAACTCCACAGAACGTGAACAGATCACCAATACCCCAGAGAAATAGAAAAAATAAAGCACAGAATGTTTACATCCTTGTGACTACAAGAGATGAGTCAAGGATACAGTGGAAATTTACCAGGTAGAGTACGGTTTCAATAAAAACTGCTCTGTATAAATCACATTTAGTTCCCCAGCTATGGATCCACCTCTCTGTGTTTACGTCTTATAATAAAATGCTAATGAAGTACATAATAATTAGGAACAGAACAAAATACGATGCAGTGAGCACCACCATAGGGCATGGTCTAGAGAGGTAATAGATGAGCTTGCTGAGATAAAGAATAAGGTCATTAGGTAAAGAATTCAGGCTAAATATAAAGAAAGGGGAAAAAAAAGGTCTGTATGCTGGGCATCATCAGAGTAAGGTGCCTAACTGTTGATTCTCCCATGACCTTTGGTCAGGGTTGGTCTAAAGAATAAATCATGTATTTATATATCACTTTGATGTCACATATCCTATCTATTGGCACTGCTGCCTGAAAGGACTCTTGACTTGAAAAAGGAGTTTCATTCTCCTAATAAGAATATTATCCAGAGTAACTAGAGCAGCGTGTTGCTTGGATTGCTCTCTCAGCCATTACAGCCCAAGAGGATTAAACTCACCCAGACCAGAAGTAGAACAGGGAATCAACAAAAGGAGTATATCAAGAGATAAATATTTGGGACATGAGATGGTCATTTCACTTTGCACATGCTGAGTTGAGATGTGCAAAGTGCTGAGTTGACTGTGGAATAGTCAAGCGCCTATGTTCAGGAGGCAGATATAGAGGTCTGGAGGTTATAAGACAAGTCCGGGCTGAGGTATGGATTTCTAAAGGCATCAAGTATAGGAGGGAATTAAAAGTTATAGATGAAATCATTCAGAGAAAATGTATGGAAAAGCCAATGCTTTTAAACTCAGGATGTACTCTTTCCCTCCTGCCCAAAAGCAAGGCAGATGAAAAGAGAATTTAGATTCTGAGTCTAAAACCTCCTTTTCTTTGTGTGACAATGGGGATAATAACTACCTTGCAAGTTTGACTGAAGGACTGAATAAAATAATAATGTGAAACACAAAGCTGAGTGCCACAACTGTTAGCTCTCGTCCCCTATCCAAAAGACCTGATAAAAAGAGAACACTAGGATAATAAGACAGCTAGACGGGGCCAGTCCTGTAGCCGAGTGGTTGGGTTCGCACGTTCTGCTTTGGAGGCCCAGGGTTCGCCAGTTCAGATCCTGGGCATGGACCTGCACCCACTCATCAAGCCATGCTGAGGCAGCATCCCATGTAGGGGAACTGGAGGGACTTACAACTAGGATATACAACTATGTACTGGGGCTCTGGAGAGGAAAAAAAAAAAATAAGACAGCTAGGTCCGTAGGACCCAATATACATTATAGGAATTCAAACATCTACAATTATCAGTGTTAGAAGTGGCAGCATGCTAGATAAGAAACCTCTTCAGGCATAATGCATGATCATAAAATACCTCTCCACCAAATGTATGTACGTAGTTTTAATAGTAGAACCTTATTTTCTTAAAAAAAGAAAAATCTTATGTGAAGCCCACAAAATGTAAAACATATGAAAAGTGGAGCTGCTCTGTAAGAGGGAAAAGGGTGGTAGGCCTGTATCTCCACATACTCTATGTCTCCAGATGGATAAACTACTGATTTTAGACCATAATACTAACCACATTCCTTTCTCTTTATCCCGAACCTACAACCCACTAAACATTAAGTAAAGTCAAGAAGAAACAATCATGTTTCAACTATCAACTGTCTTTCCATATTCTCATTTTACTTGCTAAGATGGAGGAATTTTTATTATAAATGCTGTTTTAAATACCACTATGCCAGGCAGATGTAATCAAGCAATCAGAATACCCACACAGACAAAGAGTTGAAGAAATAACATAAATGAGAACACCCAAAATACATTATGATTATACAGTAAAACTTCTGATTAACAAGACCCCAACAACCAGGAACCACTGATTAACCACATTTTTCTCATGCATTCTAATTTGAGGAAAATTACTCATGTCAAAATGCAAAATTACCAAGAAAAAAGCTCACATCAAGTGTTCAGTGACTATTCTTTGTCCCATCCAACACAAAAGAAAAATAACCAGCAGTAAGCTGGGTAACTACTCAAACGGATGTTTCAATAACTAACTTCCTTTTATCTATATATTTCGGTAGTACTTCTTGGGTTAGCCTTTAAATGTAATTAAAGCAAAATAAGAAAGCAGTATCCTAGCTCCTGACTCCCATAATTCTTTGACCAAAAAAAGCCAGGATGAGGTCAGAGTAAGACCATATGGTAACTGCAAAGGGATAGAACATGTTTCAAAGTCCTGAGTTCCTGACCGGAGTCATTTGTGTAATTTGGAACTTAAGGCCAGAATTTATCCACCAGTAACTTTTCGATACTCTTCTGTTAACCCTGTATCTTTTGTTATCCATCTAATTATCCATTTTCCTTAATTACTAGTAAGTCTTTTTGACATGCCACAGCAGTAAAATTCACTTCAAAAAATGTGCTCTTTAAGGTCCTTTTAAATTTACCATGAATGATAAACATGCAACCTGAATGCAGATAAATGTTTTATGGTCATGAAAAAAGTGGGCATTTTTCATCATCACTGGAAAATACTTTAATAGTGATACATAGGAAAGAAACTACCAAAAGTTGAAATCACTGCTCTAAGATTCCTTTCATATTCTAAATTCTGTGATTTTATGGTTCTAGTCAACTTTTGATACAAAAAATGGGAAGAAGGGTTGGGTCTGAGCAATATGTTAGGGAAACAAGGAGATTTAACTTACAATATGCTTTATGTTGGAAACGAAGGACAGAAATAATTCTCATCTGTACCAACTGTACCAATTAAAAGGTATGATACATAATTCATTCTTAGAAATACCATGACAGTTAGTAAACTGCTATACTATAAATTCAAAATGTTAAAAAATATATACACTTTAGGCTCACCAAGAATTACTACTTGGACATCTGTAAAACCAGAGTCAGACAGGAGAAACAGCCATAGAAAAACGGCTGAACTGCCCAAAAGACCCAGATTCTGGACTTTAATATATTCCATGCTAAAGGAAAGGAGTTTCTGGTACAAAAGGCCAGTTCCAGGACTGGTGCAAGGAAGTTAGCACATGAGACAAATTGAGTCAGTAAGAAAGCTTGCAAAAATTAATACAGTTATCTCAAAAGTTCAGAGTAGCAGATAGAAAGGGCTACCCACTGAATACGGTGATGACAATATGAGCATCTAAAATGATAATAAGGAGTGGCCAGCCCAGTGGGGTGGTGGTGAAGTTCACACACTTTGCTTCAGCAGCCCAGGGTTTACGGGTTTGGATCCTGGGCGCAGACCTACACACTGCTCATCAAAACAGAAGAAGACTGGCACAGATGTTAGCTCAGGGACCATCTTTCTCAAGCAAAAACAGGAAGACTGGCAACAGATGTTATCTCAGGGCCAATCTTCCTCACAATAAAAAATAATGATAATAACAATAAGGAGAGTATAAGGTTAGTCCATCTTTTAAAGACCTCAGAATAAACCTTTTCTTGTTATCTTTGTTCAAGTATTTAAACTTCTTGGACATGTATCACTAATTTTAAAAAATACATAGCTCTTTAAAAAACAATATAGAGGAAAACTAATTTCACACATAAAACTAAGCAAAATAAAAATATCAAGGTAAAATCCCATACTACGTTTTTATAAGAAAATTAGTACTAAAATAACATCCACGCAGGGGGAGAAACCACAAGAGAAAGACATGCCAACACAACACATCAAAACTGTTACCTGCTGTTTCAAAACAAGCTGAAAGACATTTTAAAATGATCGAAAATATGAAATAGCATAAATCAGAATTAGAAATGAGGTGATAGCACCTAGGACAGAATTACAAATAAAAAAGAAAATCATTTCAGAAATGAGGGCTAAACTAGAGGGAACATAAGTGGGAATAAACAGATAATGCATTACACGAAATAAAAGGGAAAGGAGGAAATTCCTAAAAATTTAAATATCAATAAGAATAAGGACTTTTTTTAAAACGCAAGAGAAAATAACAAATACTGAAGATAAACAAAGAACATCCAACATATGAATAAGAAGAGTCTTTGAGGAAATCTAAAGAAAAAGAATACTAAAACCTATAACTCAAGAAAAGCTCCTAAAATAAAAATTTAAAATATATATCAAAAGAACAAACTACAGCAAACCTGAGAAATTCAACCCAGAGTAACCAACACCATAATACATTCTAGCAATGTTACTTAACACAAAGAAAAAAAATTGGGGGAAAAAATGTGACTTATACAAAAGAGAAGTTTAAATTATCACCAGACTTTGACAGCAGTAATTCATGCCAAAAGAAATGGAGTACTGTAGTCCACTGAATAAGATATTCAAGAAAAGAAAGTATGAGCCAAGGATTTTCAATCCAACAAAACTGACTTCCAAGT